AATAAAAAAAAAACAAAAAAAAAAAAAACAAGAACTGGCCCCAGACATTTTCCAGATTGTCAGTTTTGGAGTAGAAGCTACCCATTCTTTACATTTCCTGGTGTAGTAAATAAAACCTGTTTTACAGATAAATAAAACATAGACAACCAGTTAGCTTTACTGCCAAACCAGTCATTCATTTCTAATTAAATTGTAGTCCCAGTCAGGGCAGTAATTGTGTTAATATTGCTTCACTGGTCACATCTGCTGCAATAATGCCTGGTAATTGTCCTGAATACCTATACATAGCTTTATGGCTTCGTCTCTTTAAACCGGATTGAACCCCTTGGGGAACCCGCAGTATGTCCCCTCTGGATCTCTGTCAATGTAACAGGGGTGCAGGAATATTTCAGTGTCCTGTCCTCTCCGCCCCAAGACTCAGAGCAGCTGGAATGTATCACATTTGAGCCTGGATTCCTAATGGCTTTTTCATTACAGATTAAAGGGAAATTGTGGGAGGAAGGGAAGCGGTTCATTAGCAGGTTTAGTAATATTCCTAAAAGCAGAGAGAGTGAGGGGTAATTAGTGTCTGGATTCTGGGAGGTTTGTAACTATTGCTATAGATGTGCAGTTATAAGGAATTTAGCTGATCTATTGATAAATCTTAAAATCTGAACTTCAAAAAAAATAGCTGTTAATATCAGGTAAGCTCCATTTAACAGGCACAAAAATATGTGGTTTGCCTAGCGAAAGAGGACATGCAGAGCCATTAAGTCTACCCATTCCCAACCCCCGCTATCAGAAAGTGAGAATTTAATGAGCATTTCAGATTTAAGGCCAGAGTAGCTCAAATGAAAGTATACCTGATTTAGAGAATTTTTCCACATCGTCTATTTTAACTTTAAATTTGAAATTCTATTTAAATTCACTGTGATTTCTCACTTTACTGAATAAGCCTGTTTGTGTTTCCATTTCCTGATAAAACATTGCCCGTATTAAATCGACACATATAAAGGTGCTATTTTACCTTTGACGTTGGTGTATGTCAGCTATATTGGGGTGTTAATCTTACAGGGAGCGCGCGTAGTGCTGCTCTGTAAATGTTATTGATCGTGTGTTTAACATTGTGTGCAAAACGTCACTGGGGAATTAACTCACAGAACAGAATGTTTTTATGCAAGTACTGAGTATGCAAAATACAACCTGTATGTTGAATTCCTCACTGTACCGATTCTGTATGGAGCCCTGCCAAAACCAGGAATGTGCTCATCCAGACACAATGTTTCTATAGCTTGTAACAGACATAGTGAGCATATCCAGTGAATCCAGCACAGCAGGTATTTCTGGGAGTTGTAGTTTACTTGTTGGAATATTACTGCAGAAAGTAAGCTGACCTGAAACTCCCAGAAACCTCGGCTGTGCAGATTATTGGAATAGTTAGTGTCTGTGAGAATAGGGAAGCATGACTTTCCACTTTGATGTATTTGAATGAGCTGTGTGGAGGGACAGGGGAACATCCTTACACCATAACCTCTCCAGGGCTGCACCGTTCCTGTGGAACTCACTTCCCTCCTCCGTTAGATGCTCATCCAGTTTCCACTCCTTCAAAAAATTGTTAAAAACCCACTTTTTCATAAAAGCGTATCAATTAAACTGTTAATAGCTTCCGACTGATTCCTCTCTTGCAACTTTCATTAGTCGAATACTATCCTTACCTTTTGTGTCACTTTACCCCACTCCCTCGAGCATGTAAGCTCATTGAGCAGGGCCCTCAACCCCTCTGTTCCTGTGTGTCCAACTTGTCTGGTTACAACTACATGTCTGTTCGTCCACCCATTCTACGGAATTTGTTGGCTCTATAAAAATAATAACATAATAATAATAACCTTCTAGCTGCAGTTATAATACAATGTGTCCGGGGAGACAGGGGACCTCCTTACACCATAACCTTATAGCTGCAGTTATAATACACTCTGTGCAGGGAGACAGGGGACCTCCTTACACCATAACCTTATAGCTGCCATTATAATACACTGTGTGCGGGGAGAGGGGACCTCCTTACACCATAACCTTATAGCTGCAGTTATAATACACTGTGTGCTGGGAGACAGGGGACCTCCTTACACCATAACCTTATAGCTGCAGTTATAATACACTGTGTGCGGGAGACAGGGGACCTCCTTACACCATAACCTTATAGCTGCAGTTATAATACACTGTGTGCAGGGAGACAGGGAACCTCCTTACACCATAACCTTATAGCTGCAGTTATAATATACTGTGTACAGGGAGACAGGGGACCTCCTTACACCATAACCTTATAGCTGCAGTTATAATACACTGTGTGCAGGGAGACAGGGGACTTCCTTACACCATAACCTTATAGCTGCAGTTATAATACAGTGTGTGCGGGGAGACGGGGCACCTCCTTACACCATAACCTTATAGCTGCCGTTATAATACACTGTGTGCGGGGAGAGGGGACCTCCTTACACCATAACCTTATAGCTGCAGTTATAATACATTGTGTGCGGGGAGGCAGGTGACCTCCTTACACCATAACCTTATAGCTGCAGTTATAATACTGTGTGCAGGGAGACAGGGGACCTCCTTACACTATAACCTTAGAGCTGCAGTTATAATACACTGTGTGTGGGGAGACAGTGGACCTCCTTACACCATAACCTTATACCTGCAGTTATAATACACTGTGTGCTGGGAGACAGGGGACCTCCTTACACCATAATCTTATAGCTGCAGTTATAATACACTGTCTGCGGGGAGACAGGGGACCTCCTTACGCCATAACCTTATAGCTGCAGTTATAATACACTGTGTGCAGGGAGACAGGGCACCTCCTTACACCATAACCTCATAGCTGCAGTTATAAAACACTGTGTGCAGGGAGACAGGTGATCTCCTTACACCATAACCTTATAGCTGCAGTTATAATACACTGTGTGTGTGCAGGGAGACAGGGGACCTCCTTACACCATAACCTTATAGCTGCTGTTATAATACACTGTGTGCGGGGAGACAGGGGACCTCCTTACACCATAACCTTATAGCTGCAGTTATAATACACTGTGTGCTGGGAGACAGGGGACCTCCTTACACCATAACCTTATAGCTGCAGTTATAATACACTGTGTGCGGGGAGACAGGGGACCTCCTTACACCATAAGCTTATAGCTGCAGTTATAATACACTGTGTGTGGGGAGACAGGGGGCATTCTTACACCATAACCTGATAGCTGCAGTTATAATACACTGTGTGCAGGGAGAGCACCCAAGCAAATGAAAGTAAATAAAACTATTACTACAGGCGTCTTGTGCCTGTAAAGTTATCATTGCGCTCTCTATTATCTGCATAGCAAATTTGTTGGATATTACAGGATATTTTGCAATGATGAGAAATTCAGCTCTCCACAGTTTATTGCCCCTACCTATCGCTATTTGCCATGTGCGAGATCGTGCATGTTATTATGGCCTGCTGTCACCTGGCCGTTAGGGGGTTGGAGCAAGATCCCTGGAGCACAGATCTGTGAAACCAAACTGACGCGCTATCACCCTGCTCAGACAGCTGCTGCCTTCTGGCTGCAAACGCGTGAGCCTGAAGGAGCTAAACGGATGCTTCAAATCATGATTACAGTGTGAGAGTAACTATTGCACTGCTAGAACAATTCACAAACTCTCTGCGTGACTAGCAGGGAGAAGTATTGAGTGAGCCTTGAATCTCTACATCCCAAGAGACGCAGCCAGCATTTTATCACAATTAAAGGACGTTTTATGAAAGTGTCCCAAGCAGAAAATGGCAGCAAATTTATCAGCATTGAGCAATCACTTTGGAAAGCACCAGTCTTTTCAGCAGCATTATATATGGTTCCACATCATTTCCTCCAGGTGTAATACCTTTCCTCACTTTTTCAACCGACCTATACGCATGTTTCACACCTAATGTTCTGTATCCCGAGCTCGCCAACCCACATTAACTTATAAACTATTTGCATTTTCTTTTGTAAAACTGTGAAGCTGAAAGCAGAATATGTGGGCACTTTATGAAGGTTTGCTTGATGTGTACCGGACTATCGTGAAGGACTAATAAATCTGATTAGACCGAGGTCTTGTAATGAGTTACCTTAGGTGATTTATCTGCCCACAGTTTATTTGGGAATCTTTGGTTTTGTAGTTTTCCTTCTTACAGTGACTTCTCTTTGTAGTTTGTTTCCTGTTGAGAAGTCGTTTTTGAAGCAGGTGGTTGGGTTAGTGAGCAAATGTTAAGAGCTTGGAAGAGGACCATAAATGCACCATTTGGGTTAGCCCTAGACTAGGAACATTTGGGCTGTAGCAAAAGGCACCATGGATAGGATGAAGAACAATGGTAGTATTTCTAAATAAAGGGGTGATACTCCTGGGTTCACACAACTGGTATTTGTTTACCTGTCCTGCTGCCAAAACTTTACATTTCCAAAAATAAGCAGATGTGGATGTTAATGGATTGACATGGAGTATTATATGTGTGTGGGACTCGCTCTTTGTATTCCAACCTGTTGCACCATCAAAGAAAGGGTTATTCCCTAAAGGGTCAGGAATTCTAAGTGAATTTCGAATTAAGCACATAATGGCTGAATCGGAACCGTTCTGGTCAGCTATTTAAAATGTAAAATTCATTGAAGATCCGTGTGAGAGGGACATTTATTCAGACTGACTGAGAACTTTGCAAATTCTGTTATTTTTTTCCTCGAATGATCAGTCAGCTGTGCGCTCAGTTCGAATACTCTGATTGTAGGGGTTGGCCGTGGGCTGTTAAAGAATATTTTATTTAAATTGTCCTCATGAGTTCCTGATAACTATTTATGGAGTTGACATTTTTATTTATAACAAAAACAATGTATCTGATTTACACAGACTGATTTCTAAACACATTAATTGTAGGTTAAAGACACATTACTGGAAGTATTATTGCGGTGGAGCTCTGTTATACACTCAGACATTACTGGGAGTATTATTGCTGTGGAGCTCTGTTATACACCCAGACACATTACTGGGAGTATTATTACTGTGGAGCTCTGTTATACACTCAGACACATTACTTGGGAGTATTATTGCTGTGGAGCTCTGTTATACACTCAGACACATTACTGGGAGTATTATTACTGTGGAGCTCTGTTATACACTCAGACACATTACTGGGAGTATTATTACTGTGGAGCTCTGTTATACACTCAGACACATGGGAGTATTATTACTGTGGAGCTCTGTTATACACTCACACATTACTGGGAGTATTATTACTGTGGAGCTCTGTTATACACTCACACATTACTGGGAGTATTATTGCTGGGGAGCTCTGTTATACACTCAGACACATTACTGGGAGTATTATTGCTGGGGAGCTCTGTTATACACTCAGACACATTACTGGGAGTATTATCGCTGTGGAGCTCTGTTATACACTCAGACACATTACTTGGAGTATTATTGCTGTGGAGCTCTGCTATAGACTCAGACACATTACTGGGAGTATTATTGCTGTGGAGCTTTGTTATACACTCAGACACATTACTGGGAGTGTTATTGCTGTGGAGCTCTGTTATACACTCAGACACAACAACAATATGGAACTCCTAGAAAAGAGGGACATAAGGAGAGAAAAGACGGACAGAGGGATTTGGGCCCAAAATAGCGACTTTCCCTCCTAAATAGCGACACTTGGCATGTCTTGGTGTCTCTGAGAAGCAGGATTACGTTGTCTATATTAGTATGTAAGGGTAATGCTCTGTTATTTTGGCATAAACTGTTTTGGAAGTTTTAGGAAGTAATTAACTAAACTTGGAAGCCATTTTATACAAAGTACTAGCACCTGGGCCACGGTGGCCAATCTAAAGAAAATAATCTGGATTGGTAGAACATGAGGGGCATGTTTATTATCAAAATGTATATTCTGCTCTCTCCCAAGAGCATTGCACCCACACCTATCTCCCCTCTACATTATGTGGCAAGTGGTTTTTGTAATGTGGATTAGTCATGTGCCCACAGAAGGGCCAGTTATGGGAGTAGTGCTTGAGAACCATCCCTGCAAGTCTACTTGGGGTCACAGACCCAAAGCAACCTCAGATGGTTCTCTAGAATATTGGTCCTCGAGGCGCGCCCTGGGCTCCTGATTTTGTCTGGTTCTCCATATGAACAAAACTGCAAAATGCTTAAATACTAGACTGTTGGCGTGCCCTGAGGATTGGGAACTACTGTGCTAGACCTGTGTGTTTGGAACATCCTATACTCGTCATTGTGTTTTCAGCTTGAGGGTTAATCCCTAAATCTCACATGCTTGTAATACAATATCCGTCATTGCTTCGAGGTCAAGAACAAAAATTTAGAGATTATGTTATTCCCTCTCTCATTACTGGGAAAACAGAGGTATGGCTGGGGAGACGATCTCGAAGAGCGGAGGCGTATAGAAATTCTCCTTTGTAAGGTTTTCTTTTAACATCTGTAGCTCCCATATTCATAGCACTGTATAAGGATTATTGATTAGACATAACTATTGTCTCAAGGGATAGAACTGCAGTATCTGAACACTCACCGGTTCTGTTCGGCCAAGTTCCATGAAATAATTTCCATTAAATTGCGTAATATAACCTAGACCCCAGGACATACTTGGAAAGATACTTTGTTATTCCCCATTAGTTTCCTTGTGAATTACTTGAGGGATTTCACACAGTAATCTATAATTAATTAGACGTACAGAAGATTATTCATTAAACTGCAATTATTGCAAATTCACCAGGAAATATTAGATCAAAATAGCTTAGCTGGAAAAACTGCATTCCAAAAAAACATCTGGGAACCCTGTTTCCAGCCCTGCCTGCATGATAATCTGTGTGTGTGATAATCAGTGTGTGTATGTGGGTTCTGCGTGTGTATGATAATCAGTGTGTGTATGTGGGTTCTGCGTGTGTATGATAATCAGTGTGTGTATGTGGGTTCTGCGTGTGTATGATAATCAGTGTGCGTATGTGGGTTCTGCATGTGTATGATCAGTGTGTGTATGTGGGTTCTGCGTGTGTATGATAATCAGTGTGTGTATGTGGGTTCTGTGTGTGTATGATAATCAGTGTGTGTATGTGGGTTCTGCGTGTGTATGATATTCAGTGTGTGTATGTGGGTTCTGCGTGTGTATGATAATCAGTGTGTGTACGTGGGTTCTGTGTGTGTATGATTATCAGTGTGTGTATGTGGGTTCTGCGTGTGTATGATCAGTGTGCGTATGTGGGTTCTGCATGTGTATGATCAGTGTGTGTATGTGGGTTCTGCGGGTGTATGATAATCAGTGTGTGTATGTGGGTTCTGTGTGTGTATGATAATCAGTGTGTGTATGTGGGTTCTGTGTGTGTATGATAATCAGTGTGCGTATGTGGGTTCTGCATGTGTATGATCAGTGTGTGTATGTGGGTTCTGCGTGTGTATGATAATCAGTGTGTGTATGTGGGTTCTGTGTGTGTATGATAATCAGTGTGTGTATGTGGGTTCTCTGTGTGTATGATAATCAGTGTGTGTATGTGGGTTCTGCGTGTGTGTATGATCAGTGTGTGTATGTGGGTTCTGCGTGTGTGATAATCCGTGTGTGTATGTGGGTTCTGCGTGTGTATGATAATCTGTGTGTGTATGTGGGTTCTGCGTGTGTATGATAATCAGTGTGTGTATGTGGGTTCTGCGTGTGTATGATAATCAGTGTGTGTATGTGGGTTCTGCGTGTGTATGATAATCAGTGTGTGTATGTGGGTTCTGCGTGTGTATGATAATCAGTGTGTGTATGTGGGTTCTGCGTGTGTATGATCAGTGTGTGTATGTGGGTTCTGCGTGTGTATGATAATCAGTGTGTGTATGTGGGTTCTGCGTGTGTATGATCAGTGTGTGTATGTGGGTTCTGCGTGTGTATGATAATCAGTGTGTGTACGTGGGTTCTGTGTGTTTATGATCAGTGTGTGTACGTGGGTTCTGTGTGTGTATGATCAGTGTGTGTATGTGGGTTCTGCGTGCGTATGATAATCAGTGTGTGTATGTGGGTTCTGCGTGTGTATGATCAGTGTGTGTATGTGGGTTCTGTTTGTGTATGATAACCTGTTTGTGTATGTGGGATATGTGTGTGAATGTGGGTTCTGCGTGTGCATTGTATGTGACTAAAGTCCACTGCTTCAAAAAGATGTGCCCTCCTGCTTTGTGTCATTCACTTGAAATCTCTGCTTTTTGTTGTGTTTTTTTTCATGCTTTTTTGTTTATTTTATTTTGCTTTGTTTTTCTCTAATGTTTTTCTTTCTCCTTTTCTTTCTATTTTATCTTTATTTCTGCCCCACCTGCACTAAAACATGCATATATGTCTTTGAACATAATGTCCCCTCCATATATGAGAATACATGTTCTGTCTCCCCAATATCCCAGTCCTTTCCAGGTTCGAACCCAGCAATGGCTCTGTTAAATGCAAGCCTCAGCGTGCCTTGCTATGCTGTCCGCTCCCAGCCTGCAGGGCAGAACCTGCTCCAAGCTGGATCAATGGCTTTGGAGAGAAAATAAGAGGTGGATTGATGTAGACATGGAACAGAAAAACACATTTTTAAGCTTCATTAGGTGAATTGCTATTTTGCTTTGACTCTCAGCTGGTCTCTGTTTTGATAATCATCGAAGATCATGTCATAAACATCCGAAGTTACTGCACCATGCAACGATATAGAGCCATACCACGTTACTGCACCATGCAACGATATAAAGCCATGCCATGTTACTGCACCATGCAGCGATGTAGAGCCATGCCATGTTACTGCACCATGCAGTGATGTAGAGCCGTGCCACGTTACTGCACCATGCAGCAATATAGAGCCATGCCACCTTGCTGCTCCATGCAGCGATAGAGCCATACCACCTTGCTGCACCATGAAGCGATATAGAGCCATGCCACCTTGCTGCGCAATGCAGAAATATAGAGCCAGCTCACGTTGCAGCGCCATGTGGCGATATAGAGCCATGCCTAGTTGCTGCTCCATGCCACTGGATGGAGTAATGCCAAATTGAACCATATGACGATGTAGAGCCATTCCACATTGCTGCGCCGTGCAGCGTTGTGCCGCGTTGCTGCACCATGCAGTGGTATGGAGCCATGCCACGCTGCTGCGCCATGCAATGATATAGAGCCATGCACGGTGCTGCGCCATGCTGCGGTACAGAGCCATTTTGCATTGCTGCTCCATTCCGCAGTATAGAGCCATGCCACGTTACTGAGCCATGCAGCGATATAGAGCCATGCCACGTTACTGCACCATGCCGCGATATAGGGTCATACAACGTTCTGCACCATACGGCGATATAGAGCCATACCACATTGCTGCGCCATGCAGCGATATAGAGCCATTCCACTTTGCTGCGCCATGCGGCGGTATAGAGCCATGTCGCGTTACTGCACCATGCAGCAGTGTGGAGCCATGCCACGTTCCTGCACCATGCCGCGGTATGGGGCTATACCAGGTAACTACACCATGCAGCAATATAGAGCCATGCCACCTTGCTGCACCATGAAAGCGATATAGAGCCATGCCACCTTGCTGCGCCATGCAGCGATATAGAGCCATGTCACGTTGCTGCACCATGAAGTGATATGGAGCCATACCACCTTGCTGCACCATGCGGCGATATAGAGCCATGCATAGTTGCTGCTCCATGCCACGGTATAGAGCAATGCCGCATTGCTCCATGCGACGATGTAGAGCCATTCCACATTGCTGCGCCATGCAGCGATATGCCGCGTTGCTGCACCATGCATCGGTATGGAGCCATGCCACGCTGCTGCGCCATGAGGTGATATAGAGCCATGCCACACTGCGGTACAGAGCCATTTCACGTTGCTGCTCCATTCCGCGGTATAGAGCCATGCCACGTTACTGTGTCATGCAGTGATATAGAGCCATGCCACGTTACTGCACCATGCCGCGATATAGGGTCATACAACGTTCTGCGCCATACGGCGATATAGAGCCATACCACATTGCTGCGCCATGCAACGATATAGAGCCATACAATGTTGCTGCACCATGCAACGATATAGAGCCATTCCACTTTGCTGCCCCATGCGGCGGTATAGAGCCATGTCGTGTTACTGCACCGTGCAGCAATGTGGAGCCATGCCATGTTCCTGCACCATGCCGCGGTATGGGGCTATACCAGGTTACTACACCATGCAGCAATATAGAGCCATGCCACATTGCTGCGCCATGCAGCGATACAGAGCCATGCCACGTTGCTGCACCATGCCGCAATATAGAGCTATGGCACGATATATAGCCATGCTGTATGTTGCACCATGCAGCGGTATATACCCATGCAGCGATATAGAGCCATGCCTGGTTCCTGCACCATGCAGCAGAAGAGTGCTGCCAGGTTAATGCACCGTGCAGCAATACAGAACCATGTCAGGTTGCTGCACCATGAAGAGCTATAGAGCCAGGCCAAGTTACCGCACCATGCAACGGTAGAGTGATGCAGTGTTGCTGCGCCATGCATCGATGTGGAGCCATGCCAATTTACAGCGCTATGCAGCCATATAGAGTCATGTCAAATTGCTGCGCCATGCTGCGCTGTAGGGAGATGTCAAGTTATTGCACCATGCAGCTGTATAGGGCCATGCCAGGTTGCTGCACCATGCAGCAATATAGAGCACTGACAAGTTCCTGCACCATGCAGCGATATAGAGCCATATTAAGTTGCAGTACCATGCAGCGGTAGAAATGCCACATTATTGCGCCATGCAGCGATATAAAACCATACCAAGTTACTGCACCATGCGGCGATATAAAGCCATGCCATGTTGCTATACCATGCAGTGATGTCGAGACATGCCATGTTGCTGCACCATGCAGCGATACTAAATTACTGCATCATGCACCATCATAGAGCCATACCAGGGGACCACACCAAACAAAGCTGCATATGCCTCAGAATTGCTGATGTCAGCATGTCCCAGAAATTTGAGGGGGGAAGGAGAGTATTACAAATGACTGGTGCGACTTCTCATTCTACCTTTTCCTACCAGAGTATACTGTGCTCATATGCTTCCATTAGATAGCGCTTAGTGAAATAATGAAAGCAAGCTGTTTGGACTTGCATTGGGACGTACTGTAAGTCTGTGGACCCTACCACTGCATGTATAATGTTGGTTAGCCAGAGACTGGAACATAATAGATTAACCAGGCTCTCTTATTCCTCGTCAATGTTTAGCCCAGCTTTCCTTCTCCTCTACATGTCATGTAATATTTATAAATTGGATATTAGTTCGTCCTCAATCTTTTATACTGTATGAACTGCACTTTAACCTTTGTTTTATGGAATGTTACGCCACCCTCTACACTGTGATTTGGTTTGCTTTGGTCCCTTGACATTTTTCCCCCACTCCAAATACAAAATCACTATTTTATAGATAAACCCCAATGAAAGCATGAATGCATCTGATTATGCATTTTTTTTTTTTACATTGGGAGTTTGTAAAAGCTACAGTTCTCTTGCCTGCTGCCTTTACAAGCCCTCCCCTTCTAACTCCGCCCAGAATTTCTGTGGCTGTCCAATCACAGACTTCCCAATGTAGCTCAATGTGAAACTCTTTACAAGGCAGGTGCTCTGGGCAATTGCTGCCTCTTGAGCGTATCTTCACTGAGCTAGCCAAACCAGGAAGTAACAGGACCTGCTGTCTGATTGGCAGCTATGAGGGTGTAACAAGGATCATTTATAAAATTGCCCATGTCTACTGAAATCTGCAATTTTTTGTAAAACGAGAGGGCACATACTTCACACACCGAGCACTTAAGCAAGTTAAAGTATTTTGTGTGTCCTTTTAACCTAATAACTAATCATGTTCATTATCTCTGTTACTGGGAAAGCTTCGCGCAGGCCAATGCACATACACCCCGGCCTTCAGAAAACACAAAGACTGAGTTCAAAACTCACGTTGACAAATCATGTTTTTTGTTTCATTTCATTACTTTGCCAATTGTTTGAATTCAAAGTGATTTGCACATTTTAACCCAAAGTAGCCAAACTGCGAACAGATGACTTTTAGCCATTGTGGCCAAAAATTTTAAATTAACTTTGAGTTCCCATTCCCAACAATTAACACTTTTTGTGATTATTATCAATACAATTATTATTGGTATTTATGTAGCGCCAACTTATTCCAGAGTGCTTTACAATATTCTAAAGGGGAAAATTTAACAATAAATGAGACAATTACAAAATGTTACAAGATCAATAGGTAGATTAGGACCCTGGTCGAACTACTTCACAGTCTAGAGCAAGGTGCTCAAAAGGGTGATTGTCTTAAAACGACATCTTCCGTGATGCTTTGTCATTCTAAAGCATTCTAAAGGCATGCAATGCATCATGGAAGTTGTAGTGCTAAAACATTTGGGGATCTACCTTTTACACATATGAAGAAAAAATAAATGGGCAGGCTGTTGCTCAATGACGAAGTTGTTTTATCGATAAAAAATTTTTTTCCTAGAAGAACAATTAATTTTATAGTTTTAATGATATATCCGAGCCTGGTGCTTTATTTTAACAATACAGTGTCTATTTAAGGGCCATCCACACAACTTGCGCTATCAGATGCAAGACAAAAATAACATTTCTAAGGTTCTATTTAATGTTCAAAGAGAGACGGCTAATAGAACATGTTCCTGCTTTGTTCTCTTGTGACCCTCCTCTGGAAATAAAAGGGTTAATTCCTTTACAATATGTTTATCGCATCTCGTACCCTAAAGGTCGTAGGTCAGACAGGTGACCTTGCCATATCCTGCTCTCTCTGCCTTTCCTTGTCCTTAACACCTTTTGCCTTATGAAATGCCTTCTGTTGGAGAGCACTTTTTATTTTTTTTCCCACATTCTCCCCCCAGATGGGACCATAGCTTGGGTGGGATTGCAATTTATCCGCCACTGCCCCCTATCTTCACCCAGTGGAAAAACAGTCACTGACCCTGTCCATACTAGAATGTAAGCAGTGTTATTATTTTATTTTATTATTAATCATTTAATGAGTTTCTGCCCCACTTTTCCTTCATACAGGACAATGTTACTGCAGAGGAGAGCCGCCAGGAGACGTGGCCATCATGTCACTATTAGTGGCAACAATCGAGCTGAAATTAAATTAGTCCCTATTGCAATGATGGTTAAGGTTAGTCCAAAGATTGGGCAGGCAGAGCATTATGGGAAATGTAGTTTATAAAGCTGTTTAAAACTAGGCTTATTCATTAAAGCTGTAAGAGTTAATTATACCTTTTAGGACATCGCTGAGCAGGAGTTCTTCCAATTTGACTATTTTGGTCCAATTAAACTTGCAATGCCCTTATTAATTCTCAACTATTCGCGCATTACTGAATAACCCTCATTATGAATATTCTCTGTCCCCTGACCATACTCCTAGATATGGGTCAGCCCTCTATTAACGCTCTGAATGCTCATTTTGGGTCGTTCTGCTGCCTTGTTAGTCTGGGATTTGAATCCGAAAACACCTGACTCTGTTATCACTTCTTGTGCAGGGCGGCGCACCCTACATAAAGGACTAGGTGACAGGGCGGTTATATACAAGTAAGGTTTTATTTGCACATCTATAAAAAAAAAAAAAAAAAATGTGGACTTGAGTCTCCTTATTTCCTGACCTTGAGCAGTTCTGTTATTTACAGTTTACAAGGGATAAGTGCAGATAAGTGACAGCAAGTCACATACTTGACCTTTAAACTGGGTTGGAGATGGAAAATGGATCTTGGCTTCACTGAGAGGCGCTTAGAACTGCCCACGGGAGATTAGAGGACATAGATGTTCTGCAGCAGTTATGGTCATTTGTCAGAGTTGCTAGAACAAAAAAACTACATGGGGTTGTATATTTCATAAACATATTTTACAAAAGCAGTTGTGGATACATGGCCCGGCTTTTTAGTAGAGTTGGTAGTTGTAATTACCACCTGCAGGATGGGACTGTCCTGCACATTAAGTAACATACAGCAAAAAGGAGTGTTTGTCAGACCAATATTTTATTGCAAAACATAGCTTTTTATTGTTTAATGTGGGAAACCATAATAGTAAAAAAGAATTGAGTCAAATTGAAGCAATAATTATGGAAACCAGTGGGATGTCCCTGCTGTGTATAGGACTTCGAGCAATAGACTACTGAGCTAAATGATTGCAAGCTCCTCAGAATAGCTTGCACCCTGAAAGGCTTTTAGGAGAAACTAAGCAATGCCTCCAAAGTTTTGGTTAGGGGAAACAGATTTATTAACAGGTAAATGTTAGTGGTGCCAAGGGCAGTGGTAACTACCTGTGCAGATTCCCAGCTCCCTGTATCTGGTCCCTGTAGCAGATTCCCAGCTCCCTATATCTGATCCCTGTAGCAGATTCCCAGCTCCTTATATCTGATCCCTGTAGCAGATTCCCAGCTCCCTGTATCTGATCCCTGTGCAGATTCCCAGCTCCCTAGATCTGATCCCTGTAGCAGATTCCCAGCTCCCTGTATCTGATCCCTGTGCAGATTCCCAGCTCCCTGTATCTGATCCCTGTAGCAGATTCCCGGCTCCCTGTATCTGATCCCTGTAGCAGATTCCCGGCTCCCTATATCTGATCCCTGTAGCAGATTCCCAGCCCCCTGTATCTGATCCCTGTAGCAGATTCCCAGCTCACTGTATCTGATCCCTGTAGCAGATTCCCGGCTCCCTATATCTGATCCCTGTAGCAGATTCCCAGCCCCCTGTATCTGATCCCTGTAGCAGATTCCCAGCTCACTGTATCTGATCCCTGTAGCAGATTCCCAGCTCACTGCATCTGATCCCCGTAACAGATTTGCTGTATCTGATCCCTGTGGCAGATTCCCAGCTCACTGCATCTGATCCCCGTAACAGATTTGCTGTATCTGATCCCTGTGGCAGATTCGCTGTATCTGATCCCTGTGGCAGATTCGCTGTATCTGATCCCTGTGGCAGATTCGCTGTATCTGATCCCTGTGGCAGATTCGCTGTATCTGATCCCTGTGGCAGATTCGCTGTATCTGATCCCTGTGGCAGATTCGCTGTATCTGATCCCTGTGGCAGATTCGCTGTATCTGATCCCTGTGGCAGATTCGCTGTATCTGATCCCTGTGGCAGATTCGCTGTATCTGATCCCTGTGGCAGATTCGCTGTATCTGATCCCTGTGGCAGATACGCTGTATCTGATTCCTGTGGCAGATTCTTTGTATCTGATACCTGTAACAGATTCCCGGCTCCCTGTATCTGATCCCTGTAGCAGATTCCCGGCTCCCTATATCTGATCCCTGTAGCAGATTCCCAGCCCACTGTATCTGATCCCTGTAGCAGATTCCCAGCTCACTGTATCTGATCCCTGTAGCAGATTCCCAGCTCACTGCATCTGATCCCCGTAACAGATTTGCTGTATCTGATCCCTGTGGCAGATTCGCTGTATCTGATCCCTGTGGCAGATTCGCTGTATCTGATCCCTGTGGCAGATTCGCTGTATCTGATCCCTGTGGCAGATTCGCTGTATCGGATCCCTGTGGCAGATTCGCTGTATCTGCCTGTGGCAGATTCGCTGTATCTGATCCCTGTGGCAGATTCGCTGTATCTGATCCCTGTGGCAGATTCGCTGTATCTGATCCCTGTGGCAGATACGCTGTATCTGATTCCTGTGGCAGATTCTTTGTATCTGATACCTGTAACAGATTCCCGGCTCCCTGTATCTGATTCCTGTAGCAGATTCCCAGCTCCCTGTATCTGATCCCAGTCGGAGATTCCCAGCTCCCTGTAACAGATTCCCGGCTCCCTGTATCTGATCCCTGTAGCAGATTCCCAGTTCCCTGTATCTGATCCCTGTAACAGATTCCTGGCTCCTTGTATCTGATCCCTGTAAGATTCCCGGCTCCCTGTAGCAGATTCCAAGCTCCCTGTATTTGATCCCTATAGCAGATTCCCAGCTCCCTGTATCAGATTCCCATCTCCCCGTATCTGATCCCTGTAACAGATTCTTGGCTCCCTGTATCTGATCCCTGTAACAGATTCTCGGCTCCCTGTATCTGATCCCTGTAGCAGATTCTCGGCTCCCTGTATCTGATCCCTGTAGCAGATTCTCGGCTCCCTGTATCTGATCCCCATAACAGATTCACTGTATCTGATCCCTGTGGCAGATTCAATGTACCCGATCCCTGTGGCAGATTCAATGTACCCGATCCCTGTGGCAGATTCAATGTATCTGATCCCTGTGGCAGATTCAATGTATCTGATCCCTGCGGCAGATTCACTGTATCTGATCCCTGCGGCAGATTCAATATATCTGATCCCTGTAACAGATTCTCGGCTCCCTGTATCTGATCCCTGTGACAGATTCACTGTATCTGATCCCTGTGGCAGATTCCCTGTGACAGATTCACTGTATCTGATCCCTGTGGCAGATTCCCTGTGACAGATTCACTGTATCTGATCCCCGTGGCAGATTCACTGTGACAGATTCACTGTATCTGATCCCTGCGGCAGATTCACTGTATTTGATCCCTGCGGCAGATTCACTGTATTTGATCCCTGTGACAGATTCACTGTATCTGATCCCTGTGGCAGATTCACTGTGACAGATTCACTGTATCTGATCCCTGCGGCAGATTCACTGTATTTGATCCCTGCGGCAGATTCACTGTATTTGATCCCTGTGACAGATTCACTGTATCTGATCCCTGTGGCAGATTCACTGTGACAGATTCACTGTATCTGATCCCTGCGGCAGATTCACTGTATTTGATCCCTGCGGCAGATTCACTGTATTTGATCCCTGTGACAGATTCACTGTATCTGATCCCTGTGGCAGATTCACTGTGACAGATTCACTGTATCTGATCCCTGCGGCAGATTCACTGTATTTGATCCCTGCGGCAGATTCACTGTATTTGATCCCTGCGGCAGATTCACTGTATTTGATCCCTGCGGCAGATTCACTGTATCTGATCCCTGTGGCAGATTCACTGTATCTGATCCCTATATCTGATCCCTGCGGCAGATTCACTGTATCTGATCCCTGCGGCAGATTCACTGTATCTGATCCCTTTATTTGATCCCTGTGGCAGATTCACTGTATCTGATCCCTTTATTTGATCCCTGTGGCAGATTCACTGTATCTGATCCCTATATTTGATCCCTGTGGCAGATTCACTGTATTTATCCCTATATTTGATCCCTGTGGCAGATTCACTGTATCTTATCCCTATATTTGATCCCTGTGGCAGATTCACTGTATCTGATCCCTATATTTGATCCCTGTGGCAGATTCACTGTATCTGATCCCTATATTTGATCCCTGCTGCAGATTCACTGTATTTATCCCTATATTTGATCCCTGTGGCAGATTCACTGTATTTATCCCTATATTTGATCCCTGTGGCAGATTCACTGTATTTATCCCTATATTTGATCCCTGTGGCAGATTCACTGTATCTGATCCCTGTGACAGATTCACTGTATCTGATCCCTATATTTGATCCCTGTGGCAGATTCACTGTATCTGATCCCTATATTTGATCCCTGTGGCAGATTCACTGTATCTGATCCCTATATTTGATCCCTGTGGCAGATTCACTGTATCTGATCCCTGGATCTTTGCGGCAGACTCTCTGGGAGGACTTTCCCCTCTCTCCCTAAGTTAAACTCCCAGGCCACGCCCACATTCGCAACGTTCCACTCGGTGCGAGGGGGGGGTGGGACGGCCCCCCACGTGGGTCAGCAGCCAATCAGCGGCCGGGGCTGGGAGGCATTGTGATGCAAATCAGGGGTCTGTCTAAAAGGAGCCGCGCTGAACGGAGCTGCACGGAGTCTATAGAAAGCAGCCAGAGAGCCGAGAGCCAGGGGCCACAGAGCAGCCAGAGAGCCGAGAGCCAGGGGCCACAGAGCAGCCAGAGAGCCGAGAGCCAGGGGCCACAGAGCAGCCAGAGAGCCGAGAGCAGGGGCCACAGAGCAGCCAGAGAGATTCTAGGAGTGTCTGGACCCCCAGGACCTGGCTGAGCCCCCCCCCTGCCTGCCTGCAGCCCAGCTCTGGGGGTCACTCTGTGTATTGGGGTCCCAGCCTGGACCTAGTGAGAACCACCAACCTCTGGACCTACCTTGGGCTTTCATCAAACCTCCAGCAGATCTGGACCCTGTGGATCTGGGACAACTGTGCTATCCTTGGAAGGTATACTCCTGCAGGTACCCTGCCCACCTGGACCTTCTAGACTTCCATGTACCCTGCCCACCTGGACCTTCTAGACCTGCAACTGGACCAACTAGACCTGCAGGTACCCTGTCCACCTGGACCTTCTAGACCTGCAACTGGACCAACTAGACCTGCAGGTACCCTGTCCACCTGGACCTCTTAGACCTGCAGGTACCTGCAAAGCCATGAGCCAGACAGAGATGTCCACCTGTTCCATCCCTCATACACAAAGGGTATTTCAGGAGGCTGTAAGGAAAGGGAACACCAAGGAGCTCCAGTCCCTTCTACAGAACATGACCAACTGTGAGTTTAATGTCAACTCCTTTGGACCTGAGGGTCAGACTGCCCTCCACCAGTCTGTCATTGATGGGAACCTGGAGCTGGTGAAACTTCTGGTCAAGTTTGGTGCAGACATCAGGTTGGCCAACAGGGATGGATGGAGTGCCCTACACATAGCAGCCTATGGAGGCCACCAAGACATTGTCCTCTACCTTATCACCAAGGCCAAATACTCCTCCAGCAGTCGGTAATTCCATCAAAAACTCATCCCAGGACAGACATTCCAATGCTTCCTAATTTAGGGGGTTTTAATTCCTTGTCTTGTTCTTAAGTCAAGCTGCTTGATCTTACCAAGCAAAGTCCATAATGTCTTGGTGGAGATTGAGTTCTCTCACCCCTACCCAATTCTTGATCCATTTCATGGGATCCTCTGTTTAATGCTGGTTACTAATCCACGTGACCTTTTTTTATATATAGATTTTTATTTTGTTTTTTTGTACTTTGAACAGATCTTAGATTTTTTTATCGATGGTCTTCTCACTTGAATAAGTCATTTGTGTGTGTTTCTTGTATAAGGTACAACAGAGAGATTGTATGAAACTACTCCTGCCTGTTAATTTTTTTATTTTATTTTTCTCTCTGGTATAATGAAGCTGCTTTTGGTCGCCACATTTATAGGAAGATTGGTGGCCTACAAAGATATGCGTGTGTATATATGTGGGTTTGATTTAAAAAAAAAAAAAAAAAATTCCCCCCTTTTTATTTTTGGTCATCTACCTCAGCTTTAGCACAGTATTCACCTACAGGGCCAGACACTATATTGCACTTCATCCAATATATTCAAAATTGGTTTATTCCCAATTCATTTTACTGATCAGATTATAATCTACCATATTATGTCTCCGGAATTCACAAATCAATCTTCATACTTTTACGCAATGACGATTCTAAACATTTCAAAGTACAAATTGGGAATTGTGGATTAAACCAATGTTTGAAATCTACTCAAGAGCCCAAAGGTGTTCTCGCCATCACCCCTTTATTTGGGAGACCCTGTTCATAGTATCCACCACACACACTTCCTATCCAATTTTATTTTTTTACTGCTTTATAACTAACAAAATCTGCAGAAATTGCTACTTTAATCAATTCTGTACAGATTTAGAGGAGTCAAATGAATTATTTTACAACATGGGGTTCTTAGACATGTATTCTTTATATGGGTGGGTGTGTGTGTGTGTGTGTATACACATACATATACACAAACCACACACATATACTGCATACACACATATACAGGTCTATGAGGTATTCTGTTTTGCACAGATTTGAAGAATAAAAAAGGTTCAAGGGCACCACCTACTGTCTAAAAATAAAGTTGCAGGGATTGTTATTTGACCTGTTGAAGTTAGTTGACTTGATTTGGGTTGCAGAATTCTCACTAGTTTTTAGTAGCAGATAACCAGTGGCTGGGTCGCTTGCTGGTTTCAATGGTGACTGCTTGGATAACTAACATGCCATGCTGCTTTTAAAGTTCCCAGGGTCAGTGTGGAGGCAGAGGAAGTGTGAGCTGTGAGTCTTGTGTCTGTCTACACTAAGGGATGGCTGGTAGTTCTGTGAGTTGGTTTTATTGTGCTATTTTGAAGTCGTTTTGTAGAGAAAAATAAATCATCGAGCAGAAAGCACTCTAATTTGTATGTTAGCGGTGGGTTTAACCCCTTCAGGAGCAGTGTCTTGTCCTGGAAGGGTTAAACTGTTGTAAAGCCATAGATTTTGGGGAGGCAGTGGTGTGAGACTGAAAGTTGCACATGTGTCTGATTCACAAAGGGTTAATTTGATGAAGGGACTTTTTCCAAAATGCTGGAGGACTCATTAGAGTCCATAGAACATAGTAACGTAAAATGCATATGGAACTTTATTAAACATTATGTTTCAGCTGGTCTCCCAGGTGGGGAAGGATCTGTGTTACCGATATGTCAACAACTGTCAAAAAACAGGGAGACCAGAACCTATCCCTGTATTTGTGATCTGATGAATGTAGTCATTTCGTGACCATTCCTGTTTTAATGTGTCTTGGGTTCGTGGTTTTTTTTTTTTAGATCACTGAAACTTTGCTACTGGTTGATTTCTCAATTTAAATGAGAAAACAAGTACACTTTTATTTTTTTAATTTTCATTTTTTTCACCCCAAAAAAACATGATTAGAAAATAAACATTTTATAATTAATTTGGCATTTTTTTACCATTCTCTACCCCCACCTCTTTTTTTCCACTATGGTATTTTAACTACTGGCCTGTTAAAATTCTCACGTAATGTCATTAATATGACCCCTTTGGTTACAGAAAATGTCATTGGAATTGTGTGTGTGTGTGTGTATCTATCTGGATATAAGTGTATTTATATACTGTGTGTGATACATTGGTTATAGTTCGCTTCTCAGCTTGCATATAATATTGGTCAGAGATTTTTATCAAGTGTTGAGCCCATCACAATGGACCCCAAGTGTCACACAGTCAGTCTGTATTGGCTGTAAGCAGTTTGTACATTGTACACAAGGTTGGTGTTTAAACATATTTCAAATGGTTTCTGTTGGTATTTTTTCCCCGCTCTACATTTTCTCCCCATCCTGTCTGTGCGAACAGACTGGTGGGTTACGTAGCAGCCAACACCCATTTTTTTATTTTTATTTTTTTATAGCCCCTCCCTGTGCGCTAGTTTTGATTGGTGGTCTGCAGTAGGAAATGGAAATAAATGTGTTTGGAGGGAAAGGTGGAGAATGAATTGAGTGTAAAAAGCAAAAAAAAAGCAAAACAATTTCAGTTTTGTTGCACAATTTTATTTTTAATTATTAATTTTTCTTGTTTGCAAATAAATAAAACTGCCATAAAATGTCATAATATTTATGATATGAGTATCCTGAATCTTCATCCCAAGGTTAAACCTCCTTCTTTGTTTGCCACCCTATCTATAATCCCAGGTTTAAAAAGGACATATACAAACAGTTTCCCCTTTGAAACTAAACAATCCAATTCAAAATGTGAATTATTTTCCCCTCGCTCCCCCACCCATGCAATGCCGTTTTCCTTTCCCGAGCTGTATGGGATTAAGATATTTGAGGCTACCATATGGTCCTCTTAATACAGTTTGTGCCCCTCCCACTCTCCACTTTGGGTGACCCTACATGCCATCACTACGTCTGCTCTCGAATGCAGGCAGCAGGTGCACACAGACGGGCTTATGAATGCAATTTCCGCATTTTTATTCCATTTTATTTTATTTTTCCAAATTTCCCCCCCCCCCCTTCTTTTGAATCCTTGGGATGACAGGACTACGTGGCTGTAATTTGCTCCAGAAAGGAGTCATCTGTGATCAGTTATATCCTAGATGCGGAAACATTTTTTTTAATTATGTTAATTAAAGTTATAGGCTTATATTGAAGCTGTGTTTGAGATCGCCATGTTGTAACTGGATGAAATCTGTAAAATACAGCATATTGTGGACTGTATTATATCACCTGTAGCCCCGTAAATGATTTTTTTTTATAAAAAGAAAGTAAAAAAAAAAAGTCTGCTTCTCTTTGTGTTTCTATGTTTTTGAGGGGAGGGGGGTAAATGGGAATTGTAACGGTTTTGCTGTGATACATTGTATTTTGGTAACAAAATATATATTTTCTGAGACATATTGGTATTTGTGTGTACAAAATAATGGTTTTAATATTTATTGAGCATTTATAGTGCATATGCTGTGTATATATATGTGTGTGATAGAATGGAGCAGGGTTTACCTTTCTCCAATGCCTGTCAGCATCATGGGACTTGTAGTTTCTAATGATGGCAAAGCAACATGGAAGAGTTGCAAATCTATAAAGCTGGGGAGGGCTCCCTGGATTAAAGCATTGTCACTGCAGCAGATGTCCAGTGCTGTCTGAGTGCTGCATCTTCTGTTAAGAAAATATTCCGTTTCCCGAGATCGATAAACTCCGCACCCAGAATCATGTTCTCCTGTAACCTGTTTTCTATCATGAACCCAGCAACACTCTCCCAACCCAATAAACAAGTCTAGCATAGCAGGATACCAGCAGCCATATTGCTTTTTAGGAGACCTCATGAGTTATTTTTTTTTATTTAAAACCTGCTTGTCAGTATTAAAAATAGTGTTTATTTAAAATTGTGACACACATTTTATCCGCACATACTTATAGACACCTATTCAGTTTATAAATCATACCATGCCAAATAATAATTGGCGGAAATTCATTCTCCTAATCATTGTTCTTCCATGTCTCTGACATCACACGAGGCTGGAAGCAAAGTATGGCGTTTGTGCACTGTATTACCTTATAATGTAAAACGTGAGTTTTCTGCTCTCCCATTGGTTGGCCTACAGTCGGTGGAAGAATTTGTAACGGCACAGCGCATGTATGAGTAGTGTATCCGTAAAAACCACTGCTCAAGGACTTCATGCCTATTGTTCTTCACGTCACAATATGGTGATTTAACGCAGTCAGACAATCCAATCATGTTTAACTACATTGGCGTCTCTGTTCATGCTGACAGGTGTATTCAGAAATAGAATATGGCAGATTTAGCGCATATCTGTTTAAAACGCAGGCTTAGTCCACGAAAGCGACAGATCCTGGTCTACTGTAAGCTTGTTACGCAGAACCTGGGAAATCATGGAAAGTTCTGAATCAGAACCATATTTCAATTTAACTTAGCACAAAAACTTTTTTTAGGGTTAATTTTCCTTGAATATCTTCAAGGTCCCCGTGTGTGATTCACGGCCTAAGAAGACAACAAGTTAAATATTTTACCAGTTCCTTTGAGAAAGTGATGGTGTATTCTATCCAGTGAGCGATTCTGGAGCCAAAAAGTTCTAAAAGTGGAGCAGTTGCCATGGGATCCTCCTGCTGATTGAGCCATTCTTGGAGCTTATATTGTTAATTATCATGGTAATTGCTCTTTATTTAGCCCCCTTTACTCCAGAACAGCACTGTGTTTTGCCTTGGTAAATCTCCCCATAGAACTTTATCTGGTAATGTCATATTTAGCCTGTTGTCATTTGAAAGGGTGCATTTTTGCTTTAATTGGGATTACCCCAAAATGAAAGCCTTGGTTCCTTAGGCCAGCGTTACCTAGCCCATGGCAATACACTTGGGAAATGTTTAAGTCATGGATGGTTGGAGTAATTGGAGTAAGGGGTTGGGAATCCCTAATCTAGATCCCCCCCAAATAAAGTTCAGGATGGTCTGACTGGTACTGAGCTATCAGTAAACACTGTGTGCAAGGGATATCAAGACAGCTCATCCTGCAATGGCCTGTCTCCGCAGAGGGGTTTATTCAATAAACCTGAACTCAAGCAAGGAATCTTTTATTATTTTACTAGGATGGCCATATTTAATACGGTGTGGCTAAATATTTAATTGTGGTTGCTTACATTAAACCAGTTAACTAACAAACAGAACATTTTAGGGGAAAATAACAGAGTTTGGAAAAATGATCAAGTTGAGGAAATCTTGCATTTAATTTTCCTTTGGGGAAACCCCTGACTGGCGTTTGTCCTGTCCTAACCAGAACAAAAATCACTGCTTGGACACAGGTGGAGAGTTTGCAAAAAGTTCTGCTTCCTGTGCAATCCCTTGGTGACCAATTTGGATTTTACGTTTTTATTTTTCGGGCGGCCCATACGTTTGGAATTCGCAGAAAGTGAACGTAAAGCTGTCTTTATACCTTCTGTGAACCCCTCTCCATGCAGAGCACTCTCTCTAAGGACTGCTGCATGGATTCTGTCTCTAAAGCATTTTCGTGCATTGTTATAGCTACTTTGTTTGTGCCTGGGGCTGTGAAACAGATGGATTCTCTCCTGTCGCGACCCCCTCCCTCTCACGCAGGAGCTGGGGTACTGGAAATGAAGCAGTCTGTGAGAGGCATGTCTGCTCCGTGTGTTTGGTGGGGGTCATGAGAATAATGTCGTGCCAATATACACATGCTAGGAAGAAACCGTGATGATGTTTTTGGGAAAATGAATGAAGTTTTGGACTAACTGCACCCAAAAATACACATTTTCCCAATAAAAACAGTTAAACTATTTTGAACTCCCCGTGAGAGACTGATAGTTGGATTCGGAAACTGGCTTTTGAAACTGCTGTTCTGGAAATAGCGCCAGTGTGATTTGTAATAAATAAATTTAAAAATTCTGCTTTGAATTATAATCCACAATAAGACTGCAGTTAGATTTGCTTTATTACGTGTCCACATGTAGAGACCGCATGTCCAATACCAACCCTGAGTGTAGATTGAATCGGTTACGTTCAGTCGTCTCTTTAACTTGTGTAGTTACGTGACCGTGCAATAATAAACTGGGTAAAACCCTTCGTAAACAAAGAAACCATAAAAATGTTTTTGTAGTTTTCAGTTTCTCAAATAAGAAGTTCTATGCAGTAAAAATGGTTTTTAATGGCGTGCTTTTATTCCTGAGATACTTTTTTTAATTGGCTTTTCACCCCTTGTTATAATGTTTTCAGTTTGTGAAAGCGATCTATTAAAACCCGTATTTGATACCGCCATGTGCCAAACAGTGAAGCAGTTTTCACTCTGACCAGAGAATCTTATAACAAATTAATTGTGTGGTGGGAGGAGGATAGCCTTGCAGTTTCATTAAGCACTCCGGATTAGAGGTGGCTCGCAGTCTCCCTGCGGAGAGGTCAGCATGGCGCATGTTGCTGTCCCACGAGAGACTGTGGCAAGAAATCTAGCCAGGACCCACAAAGCACGACGGGCCTAGCCAACCCTACGGGTCCACAGCAGGCCTGTTCTCACACCTGCCACCACCCTTCCCCCCACCCCCACGCAAACCTATACACAAGTTCATCAAACTAAAGCCAGCCAAAATATGCACCCTGCTCCTCCCTTTCTGCAACACCCTGATTCAAGAGCCCATTCTTCTGTGGCCCTCGTCGCCTCGCAGTCAGGCCTCCTCAGTCTATTCATGGCATGGTCACCGCAGTCCTTCCCTTGTTCTGGGGGCCGCATGAAGCAGCTGCTATGTTAATGAGAAGGACAGAGAATAGCCCCCCTCGCCTTTCTAAAGGCTGAATAAATCTAGCTAGGCCGGGGCCGCGGCAGGCCTACACAATGGCAGCATCTCACCCCAGCGCTGGCTGCCATTCACATTCAAATGAATTAACCAGCAGGCAGAATAGGTTCGGGCTGCATAAAATACATTGCATAAGGAGGCCCCCCCTCTGCAGTCCCCCAACTCCCAGACAGAGCCCGAACCCTCCCAGCACACTCACAGACTGTTGTGTCTGCTTTGGAATTTGTAAATGCAAAATGTGGCCACAGCATGCCTCCCCCTCACTGCTCCTACTCACTTCATCCACACACTAATGTATCCTATAAAATATAATCTCCATCTGTCTGTACGAAATCCCCATCTATCGATCGCATGATGTGCGTGAAGTCTACAGAGAACTGAAAAATACATTTTATTTTGTGTACTCAATATACTTATCAAAGCCATTGTGATTTTATAAAATAGTATGTTTTTTTATTATTTTGAAGCCAAGGCATCCTTCATATCTATTCCTAATTTAATAAATACAGCCTAATGATCGCACGCTATAAGACCTGCCCTCTGTGGGTAATCCTAACTGGTCCTGATGGTGCAACGGCGATTGGACACCAATTGGCTCACGCACTGACGCGCAGATCCCGTTGTAGCGGTACATACTGGTTCCCAAAAATCTAGGTTTCTGGTTTATTTCGTTTACAAAACCCCACTTGCTCCATGTTTGGAAGCGAAGCGAAGTGGCGGCTGTGATTGGCCACCAGAAAGCGAAAAACGTGGAGATGTCACGTAATTTGTGGGTCTCCGTACCAGGAATCACTCCGTAAATTTATAGAGAAAATAAAAGCGATGAATGCTTGATGTCATTGATGATGAGGTGATGTCTGGGTTTGGAAGAAAACACAGCCGCACTCTCCCCTGTGCTCACTGACACAAGTTCACTTTAAAAAAATTTCAAAGTGGACATTGACTTACCCATCATTACAGTAGGCATGACCTAGGTTTCAGACAGGGTTATTCACGAAAGTGAATTTAAAAATTTAAGGCCAAAGTAGCTGAATTGGAGCTATGATTCCAGGTTGGCTTCTCTGGCCTTAAATTTGAAATTCACTTTGAATTCTCACTTTAGTGAATAACCTGGGCTCTTACATTGCCAGTAAGTGGTGGTGGCCATAAAGGATAGGCTCGTCCACCCACAGAAGGACTAAAGAGGCATTAGAACTAATTTGGCTTCAGTGGAACAGGACTCTGAAATAGCGACTGTTGGGGGATCTGCACCCATAAGTCTCCCTAACACTACCCATACGTTTCCATTTTAAACTTCTCCAACCTATTAACTGTGTAATTTAAAAATCATGTCAGACACAGCACCCTCGGAAACAATGCATCACATTGCCACAGCAGCCCTTAAAATGCTGCTTTCCTACAGTCATTCTGTGTTTCCATGACTGAACCCCAAGACACCGGACAGTGTTTACTCCTGTTGGAAGTTTTCTTTTATAAGTGATCGCAACAACTATGGGGTTTATTCACTTAACAGCGAATTGAGAACTCCATAATTCTCCAACTATGATCAGGTCACAGTTTGACAGTTATAGCTGGGATTTTACAATGTAATATTCAGTTCACGCCAATTTACTGTTTAGTAAATAAGTCCATCATGTTTCTATAACCTTCCCGCATTCTACTTACTGGATGTTAGATGATCCATAATGAGTCATGTTGTTGTTTTTTCCCCTATAGGCAGGGGTATGGATTACTGGAGATGTTTCAACTCTGATTCATTTTCTTAAGGATTGTTTTTTTAGATGATGAATTTAGAAAGAGAGGGGTCTAGGTCATCCTATATGTTTTGTAAGTTAAATCCTTCATCAATCAGGAATCCTACAGCATATGAATGCTGCATACAGTAAGGTAGCACTTTTCATGTGCTGTGCATCAACATGACGCTATTATTTTGCCTCAAGACAATCTTTGAGAATTTGGAAGCCCTATCAATGTTATTCAATAAAGTGAAATTTGTTGGGTGTAGAAAGTGGATTGCAAATTTTGGACCAAAATACCAAAGTTTGTAGAAATTCAGTTTGAATTTAAAAGTTTAGGCTACAAATAAACAATCTGTGTTCCCGGCAGCTCAGTCTCTGAGTAATCCTGTGTATACACAGTTTAATGGGGCCTAAATGATTCCCTGCGCGCACGCTATATACTATTAGAAGAAGTGGGGATCTCCGCGTCTATTTACCAGTCACCTTAATTACGGAGGAACCCAACTGATGGAGCACTGAGCGCAGCCTAAAACCCCCCTGCCCTAAACGTGTTCATCACACATGTAGTTTAGCTACAGTGTGGCTCCTGTTGGCTTGACGAATAATCTCATTCATGTTTTTTCCTGAATAAAGTTTCTCAAAGTGGCACACGCGCACAGCAGCAGCACAGGAATCTGTGACGGCCTATAGTGAGGACATGTTCAGTGCACACGCTCCCTACATTCTATGTATACATGGAACATAGGTTATATATTGTTACTTTTCTTAGTATTTTTACATTATCTGTTACGTGTGCTTGGAGTCTACAATTCCCAGCATGCACCCTGTCTTTCTTTATTCGCGGTTTGACTTTGTATCTCTCGGTTTTTGAGGGGGGCTTCCATTTAATTTTTGTGTAACTAGCCTTATGAGGATTTTCCATGTTCATCGTATTTTCCTGGACACAGTCTCCCTGCTGTTGGTCAATGTATGTAAAGTCTTCGCCGGCAGAATTTGGCTTCTGTCTGATGTAAAAAAGCAGAGAAATAATAAGAAACCCCACAGTCTACATAAATGAGTTTTTCTTGTCTCTAACCTGTTATTTCTACACTTTTCATGTACTGTTCAACTTTGAATAAATTTTGCACTCAAAGTATTCAGACCCCTTCATGGTTTCACTTATTTTTATTGCAGCCTTATGCTACAATCTGTGTGCAACCCCTCCCCGGCCCCCCTACATTAATCTAAACTCAATATATCATAATGACAAAGCAACAACAGCTTTTTAACAGCATTGCCAATATATTAAACAACAGCAAAATCAAATATCACATTGGCACAACTATTCAGACCCTTTGCTATGAAAATGTAGTTCAGATGCATCCCCATTTCTCTGGATTACCTGTGAGATGTTTCTAGACTGATTGGAGACCATCTGTGGCAAAGTCCATTAATTAGACATGATTTGGGAAGGCAGACACCTGTCTGTATAAGGTCTCACAACTGTAATGCAGATCAGAGCGAACTCCAAGCCATGAGGTCAAACTGTCTTCAGAACTCCGAGACGGGATTGTGTCAAGGTACAGATCTTAGGAAGGGTACAAAAAACTTTGGCTGCAGTGAAGGTCCACAAGAGTACAGTGGCTCCCTAATTGTTAGATTCTTCCTAGAGCTGGCCTCCTGGACAAACTGAGCAATTGGAGGAGAAGGACCTTGGTAAGAGAGGTGACCAAGAACTCAATGGTCACCACACTGGGTGAGCTTCTCAGCTGTGTGGAGATGGAAGCACCTACAATCCTCTGAATTTACACCAAACAGTTAAAGCTTTGGTTTTTTTTTCAGTTCTTTGCTTTTTTTTACTCACACTCAAAGTGTCATGTCTGGTGAAAACCAGGCACCAATCACCAACTGTTCAATACCATCCCAAAGATGAAGCGGGGTGATAATATCCTGCTTTGGGGGTGTTTGTCAGCTGCAGGAAATGGGAGATATCCTTAATGGAAATGTGGTCCAGAGCACTCAGGACCTCAGACTGGGCTGACGGTTCATCTTTTAATAGGAGAATGACCCGAAGCACACAGCCAAGACCACGCAAGAGCAGCTTAGAGACTACTCTGTGAGTGTCCTGGAGTGGCCCTCCCAGAGCCCATAATTGAACCCAACTGAACATCTCTGGAAAGACCTGAAAATGGCTGTCCTCTGACGGCGCCCATCCAACATGACATAGCTACAGAAATGAATGGCAGAAACTTTCCAACTCAGATGTGCAAAGCTTGTGGAATCAGACCTGAAAAGACTTGTGGCTATAACTGGAGCCAAATGTGTGTCGATTGTGGCTTTAGGGGTCTGAATACTTATGCCAATGTTATAGTTCACTATTTTCCGTTTAATATATTTTCACTGGTGTTTAAACGTAGTATTTTGGTTTTTAATTATAGGGTATTGAGAGTGGATGTAAAAATTAATTAAACAATTGTAGTATAACACTGGATCATAAAAATAAAGGGGTCTGAATGCACTGTGTGTCCAGGATAATGGTGGATTTGGCAGTACTACATTGCACGGGCCAACAGTGAATTTTGAAACTTAAATCTGATACGTTCTAGTTTTGTAGCTGATGGTTTCAGTATTATCACAATACAAGAACATGAAACATTCATAAACAGTACACAATAGGGAGAACCAGAGAGACCCCGGGCTGGGTTATTCACGGAGTGAGAGTTTTTGGGAAATCAATTCAAATGTAAGAGATTGGGCCATTTTTCACAGTCATCTGTTTCCAGTGGTGGGGCTTCCCCAAAGCTTTAACTGTCCGCCTGATATTTGAAATTCTCTGTAGTTCCTGGCCGTTCTAGTTAGCGAATAATTACTGCACAAATTATTACATTTTATGAGTGAGGTGCTCCCATCACTGTTTTTATATGAACTCCCATTGTACAGTGCTACGGACTTTGCTGGTGGTATAATAATTTTAATATATAATAAAATAACTCCAGATTAATCAGCAGAGCGTACACAGGGATATTCCTCTCCAGTGATATATACATATTGTTTAATGTTGTAGTTAAGTTTCTGGCGGTGAATCGGTTAAACACAAAACCTTTCACTTCACCCCTCTTCCCCCCCCCCTACTCCCTCCCCAACACGCCTTTCAAAGGGCCCATTCACACTGTGCAGCCACACAGAAAACTCAGGCTCTGGGTGAAGTCTATAGGAAGAAGTATTACTATGGGCCCTTGGTGGAGAGCAGGCGAGGGCTGGGGGGAGAGGAGGCTTTTTGATGTTGTAATCACCCTTCCCCCAAACACCAAAAGTCTTTAAGATGCTTTGTGTGTTTTTAAATAAAGAGCCAAGAATGGGTGTGCACCCCCCTCCTCTGTAGATGTGCAAAGCCCTGAGTCACTAGTGAATTTTGGGTTTCCAAAAGTATGACATTTCCCAAGGGGTACCATCGCCGATTTTGTCCAGAAAAATGCAGGTTTTAAGGTTAGGTCCGCCGACTAAACCCTAACCCATCAGCATCAGGTCTAGGGGGGCATCTTTAACGTTACTACCCAGAATGTTTTTGGGGTGAATGCTTTTACAAATCTGGAATATATTTAATAAAACATTTTAAAATCTCTTTATCGTGTCTAATTTCTATTTTAAATGTGCTCTCCAATGTTTTGTGGGTCACAGGAGTCCTAGATTGCTGGTTTGATTTAATGAATATTTTTATTTCCCTCTAGCTTCACAAGGGTTAATTAAGATGGGTGTGCTACTCTTGTAGTATCTTTACAAATACAGAGCTTTTGTCGTCTTCGTGTTCAGTACTTTGGGATTTATTCACTAAACAACAAATTGTAGTGAATTGAAAACTGAATATTTGAATATTGACTTGTTCCGAACGATGTCTTCAATTCCGCTAGAGCCCCATCGTGGCTGTTTGTAGTTAAATGCTACAATTCTGTTTCCAGTTCCATAAAACTGTATGTTTATGGAATAATGCCAATTATTTTCTATCTGTGTGTTTTGTAGCGAAGTGGCAGCAAGCTGTATTGCTTGGTTCTGATACGTGTGACTTTTTACTGGAATTTAAGGACTAAACCGTGATCAATTGCTGGGAAAGTTCAAATATTCTGACACAAGGAGTTTATTTCCTAAATATCAAAATATAGAGAACTGAAATTCAAATGACCTAATTCAGGCATAAATATCCAAGCTGGGAATGTAGCGGAGTTAAAGAATGTTTTCTCCTAATGTACCATTCAGATTTCAATTTGCTACAGTTCCGAGTTTAGTAAATAACTATTTAAGAGCTGGAAGATTTTCCCAGGTAAGCTATTTTGTGGCCTGAAGTTTGCTATTTGGCAGCGAAAAAAAAAACCTTCTGTCTCCGACATTGTTCTAAATCCCATGTGTAACTACTAGAATGTAAGCTCTGTGATACAATGAAAAACACTGTAAGGTTAAAAACCGCGTTATTCTAAGTACGTTTTTAAAAATGATCAGAACTAGTGTTTGAACACATAGCTGACTGTTTTTACTTTGGCCTGAAATTTGACGATTCACACTTTACTGAATAACCGTATATTTCTTAGCTCTTCGGTGAGTGAAAGCGTCAGACTGTTGGCTCCCCCCTGTGGCCAAGAAACAGAAACACATATATTTCAAGAGCTCACATTCTATAGACATGAACCCTCTAGTCCAGGCTTCCCCAAATGCCGGCCCTCCAGATGTTGCTGAACTACAACTCCCATGATTCTCAGCCTATCTCTTTCATTCATAGAATCATAGTTGTAGTTCAGCAACATCTGGAGGGCCGGAGTTTGGGGAAGCCTGCTCTAGTCACTACACTGGGAATTGTGGAGAATTGGTATGGGAGTTGCAAATTTAAGCCAAAAAATCGCTGAGGAGGAGAATTTTCCAGGTCATTTATTTAAATTTTTTTTGCTGTGTTCTTTTTTCCCTCTTTAATGTAAAACGAATGGGAGGAGGAGAGAGGATAATTCAATAAAATGTGAGGCATTCAGCTTGTTTCGCGGCGGCAGAGGTGTCCGAATGGATGGTGTGAGCCACATATCTACCACTGATGCCATGCGGTGTACATGCACACACTTATTGTAGTGATAATGATACCGGAGAAACTGACGGAAGCAAAGCACAGAGGGATGGACACAGGTTTCTTCAGGAAGGAAGAGATTCTTTATTGGATCACCGATCGGGACTCAGAGGGACTAATGTCACCAAAAATACAGCAAGTTCTGAGCCCTGAACAATAGTGCAGGCTTCCTATATAGGCACATAACTCCTCCCATATTAAGCTCCACCCGCACATTCTCTTGACCAATCATTACAAATAAGAATTAACTTCCTGCTTGACCACATGGCTTGTCCAGCACAATGGAGGAGGGGAATACTACATCCTGTATTCTTGCACATGCTCCGTACACTACTGATCGTATCTTGCCTCGTGCAACCAACTGATCGATACGTCAGCATATGCACGTACACATGCCACGTGGTAATCTCGGCCTACTAAATTTATTTTTACCGAGATTCCACCACATTCCCCCCTTTGATGCCTCTTGATATTTTACAATTACTTGAGGCATCACTTAACCTTGGTTTGCATACACCACAAGTTACCTTTGAACCAGACCAGACTTATCCTATGATGTGAATCTTCAACACTCATCTTCCTGCATTAGTTCTCCCTGATCTAGAGCCTTATATTTATAAATTGCCATTATCTGTGCAGCAGCCTTCCTCTCTGCTATATTTTCTATCAGGCTTTGCACAGACCTAACTACTAAGGGTATAAGACACGGCAGGAGTAGACACAACATTAAAATCAGTAGGACTCCACCTACCACTGCCTTAAGCCCTCCAAACCACTCATACCAGCTACCAAACCAACTACTTGGATTGTACCCTTTCCATACCTGAGTAGGCACATGCGCTAGTTTAACCATATGGCTAGTAAGCTCAGCTATTGCTTGCCCTTCGTCATCTATTTGAAGACAGCAATTGCTCAGGTTAAACTTCCCACATACACCTCCCTCTACTGCCAAAAGATAATCCAAGGCTAATCTATTTTGGTAAACTGCTGTCCTCATCCTGGTATTATGCTTCGCTAGAAGATTGAGCGCTTGTGATGTCTCGTTAGTAATGATCTCAACCACCGCCTGTAACCTTATAATGCGGTTGAGCATATAAATAGGGGTTCTATAACCAAAGGTACCATCCTCTGCCCACGTGGCTGGCCCATAATAATCTATAATACGCTGGGGAGGCCATTCATTATCTTCCCAGGCACCTATCTCTATGGGTCCCCTTTTCTTCCTATGATTCACATCATACACTTTAACACCTAAAGTCTCACCTGTTTCAATAGGCAACAAGAAGAAGGATGGTTTTAACATACCCAACACACATGCCCCTTCCCAGTCCTGTGGTAACTCCGAATAGGCCTTCTTACCACAGATCCAGTACAAATTCGCTGGGGCTCTCCAGTTAGATGTGATGGATAGATCAAACCATACGTCCTTTAAATTGGCATATCTTGCAAACGGGTTAGATGGTTCTGAGACATTTGAAGCCGACCACCAAGTTGTATTCTTTGTATCATCATCATAAGCTTTTTGCCCTAGACAAGTTAATTCTCCTACAGAAGTATTATACATCATTCCTTTCCTCGCTATGCAAACATAACCTATGATGGAGGTCTTCAATCTCCACTCAGATTTACCTCTAACACTCATATGATAGTCGGCTTGTGTAGATATTAATTGGTCAACTGCCTCAGAACCGGACATTACCTCCTTTGCTTCCCAAGGCCATTGGTCTCCCATGTTAGTACCTCCACACACATAGCAGTTGGTAACATTAAGACTACCGGCAATACTCTCGGCTAAATCAATGAACAAGTTTTTAGCATTATGGGGGATCTTATTATCTATGCTCATCTCTTCATAAAAGGAATGGTATACTTGATGAGTTTGGGAGGTTACCGTATCAGTCTCTATCCCTATAAACAATATTGTCCCAGGGTCTAAACCCGTCCCATATATTTGAAACCCAAATAAATTACCATATTTATCTAAGAACTTGTCAGGGTTATTTATAAGTATATGGATTGGATTGCATTCCATAGACTTACAATATGGATCAATAGGCAACTTAGTCACAATCATGTCCTTGTCTGCTGTCTGTCCCCAAGTCGCCCACCCCACACAAGACCAATATGGGCAGAAGTTATAATCTCTATTTGGACATCTT